TTTCTGCACTTGTTTTCGCATATTTTTCAATATTTCTGGAAACGAACCCTAATTTTGGAGCTAACAGACACAATTTGAGTCAATTTTCAGTTTTTACTCAACAAATTTTGTTCCAATCTATTTTGTGAATTTTTGAGGAAAAAGGGGAAACTGGGAACGAAATTTTGTGATCAAACTACAGCCAATTCTTATTTTATTTGTTGCATTTTTGAATATATTTTTTTTATATTAATTCAACAAGATTTTGACAACATTCAACGTATTCTGATACTGTTTTGACAATGTAATAAAAAAAAGCGTGTGGGCTGATATGAATAAAACAGCTATATGACCCCCCCCCCCCCCAAATATTGTCATAAAATACAAATCTAAAAGAAGTCTACTCAAGGTACATATAAAATATTAAAAGAGTCAGGTTCCAACAAAAAGTCAAAAATGGAATTTTGTACCAAAAATGACAATATTCCCTAAATTTATGGAATAGCAGTTTTTGTCATGAAATGAACAAATTTGAGGATAAATAACCTAAGGTACCTTAATGCCTAGAAAGTATTAGGGCATATGAAAATGATTTTTAAGAATTCAAAAATGTAATGATGACGACATACTCAAAGAAATACATACCCCATTCCTAGACCAAATCGTAAAATAACCAAATGCCAATACTCCTGGGCAAATCCGGTCAAAAACGTCATTGCACTCCAAAATATCAAACACACTGCCAGGATATTCTTGCGGTTGCTTTTATCGGCAGCAAAACCCAGCGGTATTCCTGTAAACGTGTAAATCAGTATGAAGACTGGACCGACTAGGAGTTGATACTGCGTACCTTGTCCATTGTAATCCCATTTACAGACCGTTGTGTTGTCAGCGCCGATGACAGTAATGCACCTATAGAAATTAATAAAGTCATACGAACTGGGGTTAAAGAGTAATGCTTGTCAAACCACAAGTGGACAAGGTATGCATTCCTTAAAGCGTGGTGGTCGTCGCGCAGTGCATGTTCGAATTTCATGTAAATAAACAATGTATTTTACACGCGTTGTGTACGTTGCTATGAGTCCCATGTCGAACAGGACGCGGCGTGACGACTACCGCCCTTTAACTTTTTCACCACCAATTCCCTCTTTTTATCACAAATTCACAAAATAGTCCTGTTTATAGTCAGCACTACTTTTCAGAAGATTGGGACAAAGATAACCAAAGTTTTTGAGTAAAAACTGAAAATTGACTCAAATTTTTGTCCGTTTGCCCCGAAAGTACAGAAAAATTCAGATGAAAAGTTTAAGAACAAGATTGTTGATAGCATTAATTACCACAATGCTTGAGTGCACATTTGCAGAAACAACCTATAAGGGTTGTATAAATCAGAGAATCACAAAAAAAACAAAACAAGATCTATCTTGGTAAATCACTGTAAAATACTAGTACTTTATTTTATCTGAAAATTTTTGGCTGTTTTGTATGAAGTTTATTATTTGCGCTGATTTTTGATGAGTTCAATGCAAACTATAGCAAAATTAATTGAGGAGATGAATGTAAAATATAGGGAAAAAGGTATTTTCGCCGAATTTCCTTTTTACTGAATCATTCCTTCAGTGAAAATATCGAAAATTAATTCCAAGTAAAAAAATAAAGTATTTTACAGTATCATGTTGTGTATATAGATAAAACCTACTCACTGTGTCTCATCTACAATTTTGTGACATTCAACATCAACGATGACATCATCAAGGTTACTAATGCTTGTATTTTCCAAGCAGCTCTGATCACCGTAGTGGATATCTTGCGCCATAGGCTGCGTACAAACTGCTAAAGTATAACGATCCAACTGATTTAGGAGATAAGCCGTCAGCAGCAGAATCAGCACGTATATTGCGTACCATCTCGCATGCTGGATAGTCTGAGTAAGTGAATTTGGTGATATCATTTTTGTTGACAGTCTGAAAATATTAAATTTTAAAAATTAGAGCAATTTATTTATTTATTTATTTGGTAAGTCTTGTGGACACAGGACTCATTCACATGCTCCAAACTACAACAAATAATATACATACATGTACATGTAAAATATTTGAATTTAACTTTCAAAAATTAATTAACTGATGTATTTTTGATTTAAATCAATAAACATAGTTGAACTCTGGTGACCTTGCCCTTTGTTATATAATATAATTCCCTTTATCATAGTTTGATTCAATATAAATATGCATTGTCATAATTAATTTTGAATACAAACAAGTTTTGAGGTTGAACCAACAGTGGGGAATCAGTCTACCGAATGTCCTTAAA